ATCAGCATAAGCATCATCCAAATCATCATACACATAATCATCATCAGAATCATGATCATCATCAGCATCACAATCATCATCATCATCATCTACGTCATGTTCATCATCATCGTCTTCATCATCATCATCATCGTAATCATCTTCTCCATCCTTATCATCATTATGATTATCATAACAAACTTCATCTTCATCATCTTCATTATCCGAGTCATCATCAGCATCAATATCTTCATGATCATCAACATCAACATGATCATCTACCTCCTAATCATCATCTTCAACATGAGCATCATCCGAAACATCATCGACATCATAATCATCATCATCGTCATCATCATCTTCGTCATCATCATCATCAACTGCAACATCAACATCGTCAATATGATCATCTTCCCAATCATCAATATCATCATCATCTTCATCAATATCATCATCATCATCATCGTCATCATCTTAATCGTCATCATCTACAACTTCCGAATCTTCTTCATCATCATCATCGGAATCCTCATCATCTTCATCATCACCGTCACCATCGACCAGATCATCACTTTCTTCAACATTATGATCATCCGAATAATCTCCATCATCATCATGATCATCATCATTATCATCACTATTGTCATCGTCATCAATATCATCAACCGGATCAACATAATCTACATGATCATCAACATCATCAGCATGAGTATCATCACAGTCTTCATCATCATCATGATCATCAATATCATCAGGAGCATGAACATAATCATCATCATCAACTTAATCATCTTTTCCATCATCATGATCACCATTATCATCGTCATCCGAATCATCGTCATCATCAACATCAGAATCGTCATCGTCCGAGTCATCATCAGCTTCATCATCCGAAACATCATGATCATCATCATCATCATCATCATCATCATCATCATCATCATCATCATCAACATCATCAGCATCATCCGTATCTTCATGGTCATCATCATCATCTTCTCCATCATCCGAATTACGATCATCTTCGTCGTCATCATCATCATCATCATCATGCGAATCATCAACATCATTGTCATCGTCATCCGAATCGTCGTCATTATCATCATCATAATGATCATAATCACCGTCATGAACAACGTCATCATCATCACAATCCTCATCGTCAACATCCAAATAAGCGTCATCATCAACATCATCATCATCATCGTCATCATCATCATCATCATCGTGAACATCAAAATAATCATATTCACCATCCATATTATCATACAGTTCATCATCATCATCATTGCCATCATCGTCATCATCGCCATCATCATCATAATCATCGTACGAATCATCGTCATCATCTTCATTATCATCCGAAATGTGAACAACACCATCGTCATCATCGTCGTCATCATACTCATGCAAATCATCAACATTATCATCATCATCAGAATCCTCGTCATTATCTTGAAGATCATCATCATCATCATCATCGTCCGAATCATCATCATCGTCATCTTAATCATCATCCACAAGATCATTGTAATCATCGTCATCATCACTGTCCATGAAAACATTCGATTCAACCTCATCATCATTGACATCATCATCATCAAATTCATCACCATCATCATCATGGTAATCGTCCGAATCATCATCATGATCATCATGATCATCATCATCACCATCATCATTATGAGCATCATCATCATCATAATCATCATCATCTGAATCATCATCATCATTATCATCCGAATCATCCTCACCATCATCAACATCATCATCAACATCACCAACATGATGATCATCATCAGCGTCCTAAATAAAATCCGAATAAACAACATCATCTTGATCATCATGTTCATCATCATCCTCATCATCCGAGTCATCATCGTCATCGAAATCATCATCATCATCATCATCATCATCATCATCGTCATCTACATCATCATCCGAAATACGAACAGCATGGTCGTCATCATCATCATCTTCCTCGTCATCATCCGTAACACCATCAGCGTCATCATCATCCGAATCCTCGTCATTATCATCATCATAATCATCATCATCATCATCAACATCATTGTCAACCGCATCATTATCATCCGAATCTTCATCGTCATCATCATCATAAACATCATCATCGTCATCGTCATCATCGTCACCAAAATGATAAACAGCATCATCCGAGTCAATATCATCATCATCTTAATCATCATCATCGTGATAATCATCATCAGCAGCATCAACATCATCAACATCATCATGCGATTATTCATCTCCTTCATCATCATCGTCATCAGGGTCATCGTGACCATCACCATCATCATCACCATCTTAAGCTACATGCGAATGAACCTCATGAACATGATCATGGTCATCTTTATCGTCATCATCATCCTCATCGACATCATCAACATCATCATCCGAAACATCTTCAGCATAATCATCATCATCATCATCGTCGTCATCATCATTGTCATAATGACATCAATATCGTCATCCGAATCTTCACCACCATCAACATCATGATCATGGTTATCATCCCAAACATCATGATCATCATCATCATCATCATCATCATCATCATCATCATCATCATCGAATTCCTTCAAGTCGAACTGTATACTGTCGTCGGTGATATTCCACACCACACCAAGTGCACTTCCCAAGCAACCGTACTGGATTCTATGCTGTGATTCTGGAGACCTTAGTTATTCTGGAGGTAAGGGTCTCAGGACGCACTCTTCATTACTGACCCACTTCACCAAACGGAACCCACCTGAATAAGTGATAGCCTTCAAGTTATCAATCAAACCTATGGCTTCTTCCTCAGTATCCACACAGAACAAGCAGTCGTAGACATAAAAGCACTCGTTAGCTAGATCGATCACATGTTTCGGGAACTTTTCTGCATTATCAACAATGGCCTGACGAAGCGAAATTCGCACAACTGGGAGAGGACGTGGCGACAAAGGGGTGAACGGTCATCCGGTATGAGCCAGGTGAGATAGACACGTCCCCGTCGCCCACCAGAGAAACGTCAAACAAATACGATCCGCAGGGGTAACCTTGATTTGGTGGAACAAAGCCTCAATATCATCAGCATCATCATCATCATCATCATCCGAATCATCATCATCATCCTCATCATGATCCTCACCTTCGAACCATTATTCGAATCATCATCATCGTTACCATCATCATTCGAATCATCATCATCATCATCATCCGTATCATCATCATCATCATCATCATCATTTTCAGCAGCATCCAAATCTTCACGTACTTCATCACCATCATCACCATCATTATCATTATCGTCATCATCATGGTCATCACCATTATGATCATCGTCATCATTAATATCATCATCATCATCAGCATCATCATTTTCATCATCCGAATCGTCGTCATCGTGAACATCATCATGATAACCAACATCAGCCTGTCATCATCATGATCATCATCTTCATCAACATCATCGTCCGAATCAACATCAGCATTGGATACGTCATGACCGTCATCAACATCGTTATTAACATCATCATCGTCATCATCATCATTCTCACCTTTATTATCATCAACGTGAACATCATTAACATCATCACGAACAACTTCATCATCATCCTCCGACTAAGCATCGTCATCATCATCATAATCAGGCTTATCACCATCGTCATCATCATCATCTTCGTCATCGTCGTCATCATTGTCATCCTCATTTTCATCATCATCATAATCACATAATCACAAACCGAATAATCATCACTATCATCATCATCATCATTTTCATCATCATCATCATTCAAAACATCATCATCAGCATCTTCAACATCATTATTAACCTCCGAGTCATCATCATCATCACCATCCCCATCATCATGACATTCGGCTTCAGCTTAGTCATCAACATTAACATCACCATCATCATCATGAAAATCATCATCATCGTCATCCGAAGCATCACCATCATCATCATCACCATAATCATCCTCATGATCATTATCTTCATCATCATCATCATCATCAAGCTCAGCTTTATAAGCATCAATAATATCAACAGCATCATCATCATCATCTTGCGAATCATCATCAACACTATCACCATCACCGTCATCATCCGAAACATCCTCAACGTGATCATCATCATCATCTTGATCAACCGAATCATATACATTATCATGATTCTCACCATCATCAACCGAATCATCGTCGTCATCATCATCATCAAAATTATCATCGCCATCCGAATCATCATCATCATGATCATTATCATCAGCATCATCAACATCAGCCGCATCATCATCATCAGCATCATCATCATCATCATTATCACCTTCATCATCATCATCATCATCGTCATCAGCATCATCATCATTATCAGCATCATCCATATCTTCATCATCAACATCACCATCATCATCATCATCATCATCATCATCATCATTTTCATCATCCGAATCGTCTTTATCGTGAAAGTCATCGGGATAATCAGCATCAGCCGTGTCATCATCATCATATTCATAATCATCAACAATATCATCCGAATCATCATCTGAATCCCATACATGATCATCGTCATCAAGTTCATCATTATCGTCATCATCATCATCTTCATCATCATCATCATCGTCATCATCATCATCATCATCATGATCATCATCATCATCACCATCATCCTCATTCTCATCAACATCATGATCATTAATTTCCGAATAATCATCGTCATCATCATAATAATCTGGCTGATCACCATCATTGTCATCACCTTCGTCATCGTCTTCTTCGATATCATCCTCAACTCCATCATCATCATAATCATCAACCGAAACACCACCATTATCATCATCATATTCATCATCATCATCATCCTCTGAAACACCATCATCAGCATTATCACAATCATTATCGTCATCCGCAACGTAATCATCATCCTCAAACTAATCGGCATGTCAATCTATTTACGCCGGATCATCAACATCGACATCACGGTCATCATCATCATCATCATCATAATCATCATCATTATA